GACTGGAAGAGTCATCAATCTCCCATGATATCCTCCCAGTCATCTATCCTCCCCAGGATAGGCAGAGGATGAATAAAAAAAGAAACTCTATACCAGTTGCTTGAGCTTTTAAAGTGCAAGGGCACATACAAGCAATGCATCTGCTGCTAAGATACATTCTGAATGTTATCAGCAAGAGGCCATGGTGATGATTTGTTTGTTTTGGGACTTTCAGTAGCTCTCCTTTTTTTAATAACAGAGGATCCTGAAATATCTGTAATTTTGCTCATCCATCCAAAGCTTCAATGGATTCAGGTTTAGTTCAGCTGCAGTTCTACAAATTAGAGACAAAGTCTAGACAGAAAATACTTTATGAGCTCATATGTGTTTCGTACTTTTGCTAAAAGCAAGAGGCCTCTCTGTCTTTTAACGTGAGGACGAGGTAGCTTACTAATTAAAATAGTCTCTTTTTAATAAGAAACCACAACCTGAACTGATTTAATTTAAGGAACAGATTTAATTTAAATGTGAAATTTTATGGACTGGGGAGACTTGGCCTGCTGAACATGAACTCTTCGGTCTATACAGACCAACCTTCCCTATTTAAATCGTATTTATTTCATTCCTCAACTTAAGCTACAGCTTACCTTGTAAAAGTAAAGTAGTTTAAAGTAGTTTAACTCCTGAAAAAATCAAGTGCTCTGCAGCATCTGCATGCCAGTGTAAGTCACTGGTTGGGGAGAATTTCAGGATGTAAGTTAAGTAATTAGAGACAAGAAAAAAATGCCTTAAATGTCTTCATATGCTAGAGACTTTCTGAGGGAAAAGTAAAGGCAGCAATAATACATTTCTCATGGGGTGCAGAATTGTCTAGTACAGAATTTTACACCACTGGCTTGAATTATAACAGAAAGAAATTAGTACTTGGGGGAAAAAAAGACATGGGCAAATAAAGCTAAACTAGGAAAACCTAACTATGCAGACTGCAGATCTTTCACCATGACAATTTTTTAATAGCAGCTTAGAGAAATACTTGATAAAAACAGCTCAGGAATTCCTGAGTCTGAACAGCTGAGCTGCAACAGGCGAACAAGGAGCCACATTTCCCAAACAGTGCTATGAACAGCCAACAAAAAATGGAGCTCCTACCCACGCACCACATATTCCAGCCAACTATGCCGATGAGCTCAAAGCATACCAGACCCTATGCCTTAAGGTCCTTGGCAGACTCCAAGTTCTATCAATTTCCTAAACCACTTCAATTTTCTTTGGAGAAGTTTGGTTCCAATTTAGTTACCATATCACCTGTTCCTCACACGGGTTTTTTCCAATATATTCAGCAACAATTCACTCAAGCTTTTTTCCCTGCTTATATCACCCCATATTCTACTTCAGATTCTCATTTTGTTATTCTCTACCAAAACAAACAGTAGCAGAACATAACAAATGCCCTGAGCTTTTTCACAGCAGTAGTATTAGTATGGCTTCCTGGACTATTTCTAATATCCCTAACACCAAGAATCACACGCTGCTCACCAAAGTACATTAGTAATTCCACTAAATCTATGAATTCCATCTAGAATTTACAAGCACTATTGGTTCATAGTACAGATTTCAAGAGAGTTACAAAAAATTAAGAGTACAAGAGAAGCAAGGATCAGAGCCAATGTTAAGCCAATAATCAGTGTATAAACATTTTGAAACTAAAACTGTAAAAACTACAACTCTAAAAGCTTCTGTTTATCTAGGTAGCTTGGTCTGATAAAGAAATGATAGAGAGAACAAAAATATTTGTATGACACCAATGAAAAATCCCTTGTTTAGCTTCCATGTTCACAATGTCCACATGTGTGGGAGTTCATCGGATACCAAAAGAATTTAAAAAGAAACATCTTTCTGATTACACATCAGACACCTTCCTTCACCCCACACACCAAGAGTGCTGATTCAGCATTTGGGGTTCTAAGAGATTTTGAATTCCCATTTTATTGTAGAGGAATGTCATTAAACTTGGCTGACACAGAGGAAAGCTTGAGTGTCCTCCCACTATGAAGGAAAACACCACCATATTTAAAAGAAAGATGTAGGGCTTTTGAAAAAGCTCTCTCTGCAGATCTAGTTTTTACAACTACAAGTCAGCCACATTTTCCAGAAAAGTTATGTTACCATCTCTCTCTAGTCACCTTTCTCCTCCTCCACACCTCTCCAAGAGGTTCAGCTGTTTCAAGGACTCACAGCCCAGCTGCAGTAGGGTGCAGCTGCACATCCTTGACTCACACGCTGCGGAAACAGATAACTGGAGAGCACTGCAAGGAAAGCTACAGCGCACGGAAAGAAAGTGCCAGATAAGAAAGCTGAAATTTCCGAGTATCATCACTAGTAGCTCAAATGCTCAAAGGAGAACATATCAGTGTGGAAAGGTGTGACATCCTGAAGTTAAAAAAAAAATTGGCGCCAGTGGGCATTGGCATTCATTCCAGAGAGCAGCAGATAAGTTCTCCTAGCTGATGCCTGCCTGGCCAGTGAAATGTCTCACTGAAGCACAGGCACGTTTAGGCTGGTAGGTCACTACATTCTAGCAATTTTTTGTATATATGCCTGCCAAAAACAATTGCTTTATACTTTTAAGCCACACGTACCTGGTTTGCAGAGTCTCTGCACACGTACCCTAAGCGACTCAAAAAGGACAGTACTACAAGATGCTTTCATTTCAAGTCACTAAATAGTCACTGGCCAAGGATACAGCCAATGTTCAAACCCACATCTGCACCCTGAGTATCTGCCAGTTACCACAGTACCTAAAGTCTGGGCCATGCTGCTTCCTAGTTACCACTACAAGTGCCCTTCACATGCTCAGAGATTTGGCAGGCACAATTCTAACATCAACCACAAAAAACAAGGCCAGTGAGCCAAGAAAGGCAAGGTTTCAGGTCTCTGTACTTTGCAAATGGCTTGAGAGGGGGATTCTTAGATGCTACCTCTATTTCCATCAGTGGCCTTACGTGTTAAGCTTCCTCAAGTCAAACCAACTACTACATTGCTAAACAGAAGTGTTCTGGTAAGTATTTGTCTCAACTGGTGGCCTGCTGTTTAATTTTTTGCTTGAGATCAGAATGCTGCTACACAGCGTCTACTCCAGTTCAGAACTGAAGAGGTCACTACCAAACCTCACTGATTAAAACACGGGCAGCTGGTGCTTGCAGGACAAGCCCCGGGATAGCCCCTCCAACATAACACCTTTACCAGAGGGAAGAAAAGAGCAGCCTCCTCCTGAATCCCTGCAACTTGAACTACAGAGTCATCCTGAGAAGCCAGGCTCACTGTAACAGCTTGACTTGGGAAAAGTCAATTTTCCCAAGCAAAAAAGCAGCAATTATCCAGGCTATTAATTTGCTTGACTTCAGAGTCAGATGAAGCCTGCTCTCAGCTAAACGTAGCAATTCCAGTGCCTTCCAGGTCCTCCATGGAGGCACACACTTGACAGCTTACTCATTTCAACACCCTGCAGATGCATCTGTAAGTTTGAAGAAAAGGCCTCAGATTAAAACACAATATAATGTAGATTTTTTTTTCTTCCCCCTGTACATTGAAAGGCTCTCAGCAATCAGTTTTAATCGCAAGACAACAGATATTAGCTACATATCGTAATGAAGGTCTATTTCTGAATAGATAAAGGAAGCAATCTTCAGAAGCTGAAAGGTTTCAAACACCATGTATCTTATCTGGCCACTGCTAAATAATGATCAGTGAAAACAAAACTTTACCTGTAAATTAAATTTGCAGGATTATACTGAAACCTGCCTTGTTTTTTTTCAGTCAAGGAAACTGACTACACCTGTTTCCATTCTTATAGGGGAGCTATGTTTTTAGGTAAATGGTTCCCATGAACATCAGATACAGAAATTGTATCTGTTACTGAAAGAGCTGTGTATAATCTCCCTTCCATGCTATTATTACTCTGTTACGTAAATGCATCAAGACCTGGTATAGCCACACTGCAGTTTAAAAAACACAGATAACAAATGATTAGTAGTGACAGCATAGCTGTGGCAGGTCAGCCCAAGTTGGAGAAGGGTAAGCAGAAGTCAGAACATGTACATCAATGCAAGTCCACACAGTGGGATTAATATCCCAGCTAGGCATTATAAAACTGCATCTGGACCTCATAACAAAGCTTCTGCCATGATTTAGCTGTATTACAGCTGTTCTCTGAGAGTGGATTGTTAACACAGCAGTCCTACTGAGGAGAAGGAAAAGCAAAAATCAAGAAAGGGCCTAACATTTTATCCATGTTTACACATGCCCAGTGACTAATTTTGAACGGAAATGCCTCAATGACAAGCACAGGTTAGCATTACGCAATAGAAAAGAAAAAAAAAATCCTGTTTCTGCAATAGTCATCTCCATACCCTTTCTGCAGCCTCACAAAGGATGCAGAGGGGAAAACAATACACAGAAACACACAATAAGACTGCCTGTATAAAGCTGACCAAGGCATATTTGAAATAACTTGCAAAGAATTAGCTGATCGCATGGTGCTGTTTCCTACTGTCACTAATCTAAAAGAACTCCTGAGAACTCCTCTTTTGTGATAAAGGTTCTTTTTTTATTAACAAAAAAAGGGCAGTCTGCAGAAGCTGGTACACACAGATGTGAACACGGCAACATCACGCCTCAGTCCACCTTCGCCTGGAAGAAGCTAGGTGAGCTTTGGCCGTGGGACCCTGGCCCGCCGCTGCAGCCGAGTTTCGGCTGGGCACCGCAGCTGCCGAGCGACCCGCGAGCTGCAGCTACTCACCACAGCTCCATCCGCTGCCGACAAGCTCTCGTACGTCTTCCACGCTTTCTCCCTCACGCCTTCCGACACCTTCAGCGCATCACAGAGCACGACGAAGTCCGCTTCGCCGACCTCGAGCCTAGGAAAAGCATCACGCATCGCCAGCGGGGACACCGGACCGCGGGGCGACCACGGAGCCCGCACCACCCGCTGCCGGAGCCGCCCCGGGGTGACNCGGGCCTCACGGAGCCGCCCGGGCCCCTCGGCCGAGACGGGGACGGCAGCCCAGGCGTGCCTGACGCTTCAGGTCCTCAGCGAGCCCCGGCAGCCGATACATCTTTTCCGTGAGACGGGAAGAAACGCAGACCTGTGCATAAGAGTGGCTGTACAGAATAAGTGTACGGAGCAGGGCAGGAATTGCAGATCCTTTAGGAGCGCTGGTTCAACCAGACCAAGTGCCGGGTCCTGCACTTCGGCCACAGCAACCCCAGGCAGCGCTACAGGCTGGGGGCAGGACAGTGGGCCAGGGGAAAAGCACCTGGGGGTGGTGGTCAGCATCAGCTGAACGTGAGCCAGCAGTGCCCGGGTGGCCAGGAGGGCCAATGGCATCCTGGCCTGTGTCAGCAACAGTGTGGCCAGCAGGGATTGTCCCTCTGTACTCAGCACTGCTGGAGTTACATCTCAGCTGCGTCCAGTTCCTCACTACAAGAACCTCCAAAGAAGGGCAGTGTAGCTGGGGAAGGGTCTGGAGCACAAGTCCTGTGAGGAGAAGGAGGTGGGAGTGTGAGAGGGAGCTGGGGGTGTTTGGTGTGGGAAAGGGAGGCCTGCGAGACCTTACTGCTTGCTCTCTGCAGCTGCCTGAGCAAAGGCTGTAGTGAGGTGAGTGCTGGTGCCTTCTCCCAGGTAACAAGTGACAGGACAACAGGACAGCAGCCTCAGACTCCACCAGGGGAGGTTTAGGTTGGACATCAAGAGGAATTTCATCATGGAAAGGGTTGTTAAACATTGGAATGGGCGGGCACCCCAGTGAAGTCACCATCCCAGGAAGTGTTCAAGAAACAACTACACATGATGGCATTTGGTGCCACGGTCTAGTTGACAAGGTGGTGGGTGACCAGTCAAAGGTTGGACTCGATGATCTCAAAGGTCTTATCCTAAATGGTTCAGTGACCTCTCAATCTAACATTCATCCAAGTCCTAACTGAAACATTACTTTTAACACTGTGCAGTAAAATTGCATTTAATATAAGAAGTTCAGGCTGTGGGCATCTCCTGGACTTTAAGTCAATGAGATTCAAAGCGCCAGTGGCCTGATTCAATGATCTTAAAAATCTGCTATGTTGTCTGCAGTTACAGACTCACATTTAGAAGGCAAATCTCTGCTGCAAATAAGCACATTTATTTTCAGACTTACATGATGACAACTTCTTAGAAAAGGAAAAATATTTGTATGTAAGGGTTCTTACTTCCTGCACATATCTGTCATTCGCCTGTAAATTAACTACTTTTAGTGAGACTGCTGTCAAAACTCTGTATTTAAGAAAAATCCAAACAAAAATCAGCATGAACATTAATATGTTTTACAGTTAAACTTCACTAGTATTTTTACATTCATACATTCTATTAATTTGTTCAGGCTTTTCCTTCATAATCATTAACTTAAAACAGGAGAACAGTGTCTGGCTTTCTGCTTTATAATTAGATTTAAACCAATTACAGGAAAGTGAATACAGAAGAAATCAAAGTATATAAACTCCAAATTAAATGTTTGATTTGTAAACTGTAGTGGGATTTGGACATTCCTGATGATGATTCTCATGAAACTGTGGCAGTAACTTTACCCTGCTTCTAAGCACATTTAAATACTTTTTGTATTCAGACGGTACCAGATGCTGTGGAAGGCTTGGGGTTTAGGACTAAGTCCGTCATCGACCATTGAACTGCAGACAAGTAGACAGACAGCTTGGAAAAGTAAGCTGAACCCCTAAAGGACAGCTGAGTCCATTGCCTTCTCCTCACAACTGGCTTTAATAGCACAAAAGAATTTAAAATGAGACCAAAGCATCTCAGAAAACTTGGTCACAACCAGTGGAGACCATGCCAACTGTCAGCCAGAAGGAAACACACCCTCCTGGGTCACTTCCCTCACAGCTGCTTTAACATGCTGTTAGAGCCAGGCCCTGCATCATCCAGATGGCAGGCAAAAAATTTGTCTCATGGCCCTCTGTGCATTGCTCCTTTTAAAGAGTTCACTAACCAGCCTCAGTGTAAATACTAATTTATTTTATTTTTTAATTGTTAGTGCACCAAGCACCTTCTCAAATCAAATTTTATGCACTTTTTCATCAAGCAAGGCTCTTAGGGCTCCCCTCCATAAACAGGTAAAACCAAAATATCATCTCAGAATGCTTCAAGTTACAGCTGGAGGGAGACAAAGGGAGGCAGCAGATGGATCAAGCAACAATAACATTTAATAATCCATCCCAAAGCTTTAGATATAGTAACTACATCTGAACTGCAGTAAGAAGAGTTAACATATATGTACTTCCAGCGAAAGTCACATCCTTGTGTAAAACCATATTTAAATTGCTGCAGTATTTTTCCCTTCTTTTGAGATGTACTGATTTGAATTTTTTAATCCTATATTCTAAAACATCTTCTAAATGAAGCCTTTAGGCTTCTCAATAAAATTACAAAGGAAAGAAAAAAAATCAGCTCCTACTGGGGAAAAAAAAGAAGCAGAGGAAACACTGCAATGTCAAATAAAGTATTAATGATAATTTTTGCATCTGACCTGACAAAATCTTTATTCTAAACATCTTGCTGCAACTGCTTTTAGAGTATAGGTCATGGACTTATGTCCAGTCAGGCAGTCCTGACTCATTGTTTCCAGCTGCTACACAACCTTAGGTAATTTTATTATCCTAATTTTTTCAGTTAAAACTGTTGCTGTAGTTTCATGGTAATTGCCAGTGGGAATAAAAGCCATGATTTCAATTATAGTAAAATCAGTTTCCTGAAGTTGCATGGCCAAAACGTATGCATTTAAAAACCCACTAAATTGAGAGCTTCTGGATATTAGTCCAGATACTAAATATTGGCAGAATTTCTGCTTGAATAAAGCCCACAGGCTGTAAAACTCAAGGATTATAAAGATGTCTGCATGTATCACACCCATTTTCCTGCATGTAACAGGCAGAATTAACCAGGGAGGGGACATAGCCTCTCCTGGCCAGCCTTTTCTGTGCATTCACATTCCTTGCACTGTGTAGCAGCCCCCAGCCCTCTGCCATCAGTGTCACCTGGAGCCCAGCTGTCCCTCTCAAGCCCCAGCACAAGTGCTAACAGGAGCAAGGAGGTGACAGACCTGCAGGCCAGCTCTTCTCCAGCTGCTGCTCTACAGGCCCCAGGCCTGAAGAAGAGCCTCACTGGAGAAGCACCTGGTGCAGCAGACAGACCCAAGTGACAGTCTTGCTGCAGGAGAGCCTCAGGGACACTCAGGACTTGGCTTGAACAGGCCCTTTGCACTCCCCAGCATCACCTCCCCTGGTAACGCTGTGATTGCACTGGCATCAGCTCTGCCCTTGGAGCTGGAAAGGGTTTACTGGGGTGATGGGGTGAAACTGACTGGTTGTGCCTCTTGGTGCTGGTGAGCCTGACCCATATGTCACTGTTTCCTACATGAATACACAGCCTGAGATATGAAGAATAAAAACCATTTCTGCAAGTTAATATTTCTACAGTGATGTAAAATCCATAGGGACCATAACAAAAATCTACCCATTTCTCTTTAAGATGGGAGGTATCTGTCAGATGTTGCCACTTCTAACAGCTCAAAGCCTTTCTCTGCACACTGACATTATTAACAAAAAGAATATTTGTCACTGCACAGTTATACACATCTATGGGTTGCTCTTCTCAGAGCACTACACAGGGCACTTCTGGACTCTCAAGACTGCAGTGATGAGTTTAAGGCAGGAGTCTCTATGAATAAAGCATTTGACCAAACTGCCAGTGGGATTTGAAAGGACACCACTGTTGTTACTGGATGGGAAAATGGCTGCATGAAAATGATGCCTATGTGTAAAACCTCAACCCTTCACTGATACTTCTAGTTAATTTGCTTGGACAACAGAAAGGATTTGCATTGATCAGAGCTTTAAGACCTGAATGACACTTTTTTCTCTTTTTACTCCATTGTATGTATCTATTTATAGAAGAATCATAACTATTTATCTGGACATTCCACATTTCTTGTTCTCTGTGAGAATGGCTGTCAGAGCTAAGTCTGTTTTAACAGATTTGCACTAGTGCTGAAAACTAGAGTACTGAAAAATAAAATCCCTGACTGATTAAATTTATCAGATTAAGCCCTAGTGACAGTGCAATTACATCAGACAGAAATGATCATTCCTGGTATGGCTTTCCTTACTTACAAAGGTTGCTGGATATCAATATAAATCATGCCCTTGCATGCACAGCTGCATCACACCCTGTGCTTTGTCACACAGGTACCACCCTGCATCCTCAAAGTTTGAAGCAAAGTGCTTCAAACCCCGGGTGCATTCTGCCCTGGGAGGGTGCAGGGAGGGCATCCTGTGACCCTTCTGCAGGGCAGTTCATGTCAGCTGGTACCACAGCTCTCTTGTTGCTTGCATGGCCACATTAAGGACCCCACTGCAATCCTTCCCTTCCCATCCATCTCAGTCCTAAGTTCTGCTTCCTCTCACCACATGAGAAGTGTGCTCTGGCACAGGCATCACCCTGTCCTGCTGCTGGCCATCTGCCCAGCGAGGATGTTTCCCATGCCTCCACTTCCAAGATTTCCTAAGCCCACAAGAAGCAGAATGCACTCTCCTGGAAGTAGTTCTTTGGAATCAAATTAATCTTGGCCAACAACCTGAAAACCAATTGAAAATTAGCAACTGTAGCCTGTGAGCATAGGCATTTCTCTGAACTAAACCAACCCCTGATCTTGTTTCTTTCTTTTTGCTAGGAGTGAGTCTAAGAGAAAGACATCCTTTACTAATCCATGGCAGTGAGATACCCTAATTAGTTGAAAACATTTGTGTATAGCATTCCAGAAAAACTCCTGGTGTGGCAACAGTGCTGCTGGCTCTTCTATGTTGTTTCCTCTGCAGCAGAAAAATCTCCCACCACTGGAACAAGCAATGTCGGTGAAGAGTGCAGCTCTGCTGATGTCTCTAAACCACAAGCTTTTGCTAACACTGACGTGTCAGATCTCTATCCTCCCACCCAACCCATATAAACAAACACATGTACGCACCTTGATAGGCATCAGGGAACCAAACTCTTGCATTTTCAGTCTTGCAGGCCCAAAGGATTTTCTTCATGCCAGAACTTGCCCTGTGCCTCTTTACTAAAGCTGCAAGACTTTACCTGGAGGAGAGAGGCCTTGGAGCTTTTATTGTGCCTTGCAAGCCCAGATTACGTCGATCACGTTGACTGGTCACAGAAACTTGACCCATGCAAAGAACATCAGAGGCTTTTTGGGACCCATGAGACAGCAACACAGCCCCCTACACCAACTAAAGATCACATCTTTAGCACAGGATACTGATTTTGCTGCTTCAGTAATAAAGTATGTCTAAGCATTAGGACTGTCTGTGGTTTTTTATGAGGAGTTTTAAAACTATTTGTAAAGATAATTGTCCAATGAGGTAATTTTCACACTAACCCTCTTCTGGAACTCGCTGGGCTGGAAATGTGATTTCATCAGTGCAGCACAGCTATCTTTGTTTATTGGACTCTTAACTATTATTATACTTGTATTTATTATATTATTTAAAAAGGGGAAAAAAACCCCAAGCATCTCCAAGATCTATTTCCATAGATTTGTGTGTCACGCTTCATCGACTTGAGGGCAGAAGTTCCAACATGACCTTTCACTGTACTCCAGGTGTTTTAGGTTGTCTTCCTACACAAACTGCCTGGCATTTAATAAGACACGAGCGCATGCTGGGAGCTTTTCCTCAGTGCACACGAGTTTCTCTCTCCTTCCCCACACTTATTCTCACACTGCTGATGGAAGTAAATTTCCTCCCAACAGCCTCAAAAGCTATTAGGGATGGGCATACAGCGTGATCATAGAAACCTCCCATCTGTCAGACCAAATCCTTTTCTCCTCCTGCTCCACCACCCCTTCAGCAGCCTCACTGGCTGGTGTCTCCATTAAAGGGCACACCACAGATCACCAAGTTTGGCTACTCAGTTTTATTTTGAAAACAAGTTAAAGACCATACGAAGCTTGCTTACAGATTAACAAGTTTCATGTTTAACTTTGGGAAAATAGGAACAGAACGCTCCTGAAAAGGTAGGACACATCCTTAAAAGTACTTCAGTGTGAATCTTGCGTCACACAGGGCTGCAAAGAACACACCAGCAACCTTGTGCTGACATATTCTTGACCTTCGTTGCAAGAGCACAATTGCAACATCCTGAATGTCTGTAGCTAAAGTTTTCCCAGCAGGTTTTCCAGCTTGCTTGCACATATACTGAAGTGCAGCTATGTAAATATAATTTATACATTAACACCTAGCCAGCATGCATGTGAGGCCTTATTTGATGCTCCTGATTGCCATGCACCATCAAAAACGGATTTAAAAAGTCCAGCTTTGTAATACAGCAGTTATACTTTCCATTTTACATATAATACACTTATACCAGGACCAATCTGCAAATTAAGCCACATGCAGATGAAAAAAAAAGTATTGTGTATTTAGGAAACTTCCTTTAAAACAAGTTATTTTATCTCAGTCCAAACATTCACAATAGCAGGAAGCTGGATCATAGCATGTTTACAATTGTATAATGGCTCCAAAAACAGCAAAGCATCCTCCCACTGTATTAAGAAAAGATGAAAAATAAGATTAGCATGAAGTCTCTTGACTGAATTAACCTAAGACAAATTATTTGGACAACTATGGTGTACATTATTTAAAAATACGTTTAAACTGGTTTTTGGGGTTTTTTTTTTCAAATATGTAATTATTCTATAAACATTCCTACTTTTCTGATGAATCAATGCTCAAAATTTGGCCAGAAGACAAGTCAGTTCCCATGTAATGGAAGCTCTCAAGTGGATCTCAGGGGAGGTTTTCCAGCTTTTTTTCTGTAACTCCCTTTTTCATTCTGTCCTGTATTTTTTCTTGCAAACAGCTTCAAAACAGCAAGTACATCTTACTCATCTTTTGTATTTTATTCTGCACTCTTCCCTAGAAAAGCTGGCATTACAAGGATCCAAACTGTATTAGAAAAAAAGGTAAAATCAGTATTCCTCTAAGAACAGCAGTTTCAAGTGTAAATGGCAGGACACAGAATGGTATTGCTGGTATTTGGGCAAGCCCCGGATTACCTGGCAGAGTTCAGTGGCACAAGCTGGCAGGAGCACCACCACAGGGAACAAAGGGAATGGCAAAGTCCTGCAGGTAGTGAACACTCCTGGCTCTCAGCTGGGTCAGCCTGACTCATGGCACATGTTGGAGATGTCCATCATTTGACATATATTCAGGACAGGGATTTCAGACACTCAATCTAAATCTAACATTAACAACATGTTAGATCAGCTTTGGGTCTCCACTCTGATCGCAGGTACTGTGGAAATACCCATCCAGAATTTCAGCATGCAGCACAGTACTGCCTTTAATTGAAAAGGGACAGAAAAGCATGCTTCTGTGTTCATATTTCATTCCTCAGCCCATCTATTCTATCTTTAGAAATAGAATGTATTAATTTTAACTGTAGTTCCCTCTTCTTAAAGATAATCCAGTAGTAGCAGAAGAAAACACAAGACTTTTAGACAAACAGGTTTATAAGGTTTATTTTCCATTGCACATACATGGATTATATACAAGTTAGTAACATAAGTTACTTCTTAATTTTCTAAAAGATTGTTACAGCAAACACTTGCCATTTTAAAACATCAAGTCAGAAATCAATCTCAAAAAGGTAAATATGACAATATTTTAAAAACAAAACAAATTGCACTTGGTTAGGAGAGTCAAATACAGGTTTGTCTATATGCTGTAACAAACTATATAGCAGGTAATATTACAGTTAGAAGTAGCTCTTGCAGTCCATTTTTACATTAATAATTTTTTTCAATTTTACTTATTTAAAAACTGGTGGAGATTTCAAAGACTTCTTCTTCTTCCTATTTGAGATTCACATGAAATGCACTAGCAACTAAATCTTTATACAATTGCTATTCAAATATAAGAACACCACACCTGAAAATAAGGAGAAAACTAAAACGTATTGATCTTACATGTATCGTGAGATGAGAAGTATGGAAGGTGTTCAGCAAGAAAGCCCTGTCCACTACTTACATAAAAGAAAAATTTAAAAAATAATCACTGCACACAATACAAAGGGTGGGGTCATACTGTACTTTTTAAGTCTCCTGTAGCAGTACTATGCCTCCTTACTGTTCACAGATGAGTGTTTCCATAGCAAACTTGTTCTCAAAGTGTCGAATTTTTCGGCAGTTGATGGCTTCACGCTTCTGAATTATTCCTGTTGTAGTGGCAAAGAACAACAGAGTGTCAAGAGAAGAAGGGCTGAGGTACACCAGAGACAGAAGTTTTACATTTGCTTTGATGTCACCAGAAATCAGAACTACTCCTCTCCAACCCTCCCCTCAACAAAAAACACACAGGCACACATTCAGACATAGAAAATCAGTTGGCAGGGAATGATCTTGAAAGTGTGATGAACCAAATCTCAGTACTGGTTTAGTGGAAACCAACCTGCCAGAATCCCCCACTGGCTAGTTTTCAACTCAGATCAGCTCCCAGTCTCCCTCTCTGTGCATCTGTAAAAATGCTTGTGGGGATGTGAGAGAGGGAACAGAAATAGAATAAACTGCTCTACACAAAAAAAAGGAGCAGATTTGTAGCATTTAAACATTATCTTGGAAACAGAGAAGGACAGAATTTAACCAAACTGTAGGCAAACATGCTCACTGCCAACCTGTGCTCACCATTTATTACAACAGGATAAACATACTGAATTTTTAAATGGATTTTGGTATTAAAATCTTTTCATTTTCAAACCTCAATCTAAATTGCTTTTATAAAATATATTTCTTCTTTTTGCTTTCCCTAGCAGTCAGGTCTCACAATATGACAGGAGCAATTAAACTGCTTTGGTATGCACTTGCACACCACAAGCAGATTACACAATAACAACAGGAAATCAAACAACCAAAAAGCAAAAAAACCCAAACCACCAAAAAGCAAATCCGAGTAACTTCTGAATGCAAATTTTAAGGCAGTATTTAACAGCTTTTCAAGACTCTTCCAAATAATGTTTTTCAGCCATTTTCCCACAAAAAAAGTACCAAGCACTACAATTTTCCTGTGAAGACAGCTTATTCACATTTCACTGACACAAATAGGAAGACATGTAAAAATGACAAGAAGAACCTGCAATTCTGTACTTGGAATACAAGGCTAAAGCTTCTCCTGTATTAAAGATTTTTCTTTGGTTTTGGGTGGGGTATGTGGTTTAGGGCTCAAGATTGAAGAAGAGCATCAACAAAAGCCTGAGCTCCAGAAAACACACCCATGCACACACACACACAGATTTTGGCACTCCTAGGTCACTGGGACCTTGAGCACTTTTGCACCATGACATGACTTATTTCCACACCTACACAAGAAAATATCAGACACACTGAGGCCCACAGAGCTGGTTAGTGCAATATGCAAGCCTTGCTTTAATTAGAGTTTTTTCTTTGAACACACTCAGGCATCACTGAAGCTTTTTCCATCACACGAGACTGCAGGAGAAGTGTTTACCTTTCATGGTTTCTTTGCGCTGTAGTTTATAGGTTTCCTTGCCGCGGCAGAGGCGGTAAATAAAGAATCCCAGCTGATCCACATTTTCAATGCGATCAGTAACAATCATCTGCTCGTGAATCAAATAGGACTGAGGCAAGTATGTTCCAGCCTGTTGAACAAAAATGTAACAGCTCTGTCAAAAGCCATCTCTTCGTAGTCTGAGTACACAAGAAACACTTTGCAATGTTTTTCTTCAACATATCTTTGAATTATTTCAAAGTATGTATTATCCACAGACTTTCATTCTAAATGTGCAAACTTCACTGCAGCACAGAAATATGTAACAATTACATTCAGAACTTCCCTTGATGCTAACACCCACTGCCCTCCTGCTACAGTAACATCAGCCTTCAGCAGGTTTTTTTTCTAGGGGTACCCACAGTCACAGGTCAGTTTTGCACTTATTATCATTATCCAAAGTTTTCACTTAATTAATAACAACTCACCAGACCTCAGTGGGAACAACCCCCAAGCTGGAGTTGGCAGAAACACAATCTACATGGAGATGCTCCTGCTGATGAAGCAGGCTGGCTGCAGCATAGTCCAGCTGCAGTCCATGGGGCTGGGAAGCCTTGAAATTATTCACAGCGTGGGGCACTGCTCTCAAGCCAAAGCCAAGACGAGACCTTCTATCCCTGGTAAGTTATTATGGCAACTCCCACAATTGTTTATGTGGAAAAGTACTACAAAGCCAAAGTGGGGCATCAGGTGTTTCAAGGCAACACACTGAAATGGGTATGACATGCAAAGACCTCCCAGGCCCCCCAGTATTATTCTGCCACAGATGAAATCTGCCTCTGTGCACACCTCACTGTACATGGCTGAAGATGTACAGACTTAGCTGCCAGCCAGTTTTCTAATACCACCACTATTAAATAATCATCCATTTTTAAAAATACTAAGAAATCCTGTTAAGAGTGGTTCTAATTTATAGGGGCATAGAAGGTGTTCCTTGGCTTTAAAAAGAAAATGATCACTTATTGTGAAAGAAAATTCAGCTTCTGTTGTGAAAGCTCTCTGTATATTTTAGTGACAATAAACAACTTGAAATTTCCACTGTGAAACAAGATCATATTTCCAGCTCCAGTGGCATGTTGAGAAGCTGATTAAATGCTATTCTTCCCAGTAAAGAAAGGATTGTATAAAGCTCACTTTAAATTTTGCATGAATGAATAAACCATTGCAAGAAAATAAACCATATTTTCTTCAATATATACTATGAGGAAAACGACAACAGGGGTTTTTTTAAGTAACAGCTTAGCAAATGTCAATCTCCCAAATCATCCCACTCATTATTTTGTAATTAAACCTCTGTTAATTACTGATCTTAACTCCTGGTCTCTCAAATCTCAGGGGGGAGCCCTGAGGGAGTGCAGAGCACAGCAGCAGTGCTGGGCACTGACAGGGTGGGCAGCAGTGCTGAGCACTTGGGGGGCAGCCTGGAAGGACACTCCTGGGCTTGTGCCCTCCAAACCACAGATCTCCCAGCCCACCCCTGGACTCAGCCTTCTCAGTCCTCCATGGGTGGGACAGGAGGAGAGGAAAGTCAGTGCAGGAATCTCCTCTGCCCAGTTGCTGCAGGAGCAATTATCCAGTGCTGGGATCCAGCATAGCCACAAATATCATCATTTTTGAGACATCCTGTGCACTGTGTACAGTTAAAATTAGCCAGCTGGCTCAGCAGTGGGAACGAGGTGGATGAACAAATATATCTCAGTTTCAGTTTTGTTTCCCAAAGAAACAAAGGAGGCCTTTCATGTCTGCACATTGAAGCAAACTGTATCAATATATAGAAATGTGGATCTTTAGGCTAAAATTATGATGTTTCTTAAACACCAGAACAGCCCAGGCTCCTCCATTTTCATAAAATGACCTCTGCGTGTATTCAGAGCTCATTTTAATGAAACTAGCACATCAATTTCTTACATTTTTTTGCTGGTGCAACCAGTGTGACTGCAGGACAGTATTCACTCACTTTGTGTATATGCAGCATAGTTTTCCAGATTCCAGTAACAAACATTTAACCTGATTTTCTGTGACATCAAATGCCCACAGCTTTTTGTTAATACAATGAGAATTAAACAGATGTCTCATAAAATTAGGGCACCCACCGCTGGGGACAATAATCAAAACCGTTTGCTTTTGCACAGATTTTCAGTTAAATGCGTGATGCCTGGTTATCCTCTTACTTGTAAACCAAGCATATTTGATTCAGGACTAATGACAAACGAGGAAATTAACAGATTTTAAGTGAAATTCGTATGATCTAAAAATGGAAAGAAAACAGCACAGGCAAAGTTAAAAAAAATGGGGTCACTGAGTTTTATAGACACCACATCATCCTTATGTACAGGAAATGAAAGTGTGGTTAAATAGCCAGTCTCAAAATAGGAAGCAAAAAATCAGCAAAGGACTTCCTTGTGGTAACTTTTCACATGAAATTTATTTATTTACTCAGAAATGGCTAAAAGGGCTCCTGGTCTCCTAATTCCAAAGCCTTTTTTGAAAGATGCAAACCCAAATGTGATGTAACTGTTCTAAAGTTACAAAAGCCCAGTAAATTATTAAAACATTCTCCTCAAATCTTAGACACATTTCATCAGTTCTCTTCCCCTCTGGACTATTCTGCTCTTCTGTGAAGAAACCAGAAGGCCGGAACCCAAGGTAAACACTATTTAAATCTGCAACTGAAAGCATACATCATGTGAAGTGCTCAGCAGATCCAACATATCTCATGTGCATCACTCTCAAGCCACTGGATCAAAGTGGGGGCCAACTCTAGGGATCAACACTTGAAACAATGGCCCTGTTAATGTTCCCACTCTTATCTACTTCATGCCTCTCAGCTAACCAGCCTTAGTCCAGTGCACACATGCTTCCTAGAAACTTCAGTCACAATGGATTATAAATTAAAAAGCACACAGACTACCATCAAAGAGTGCAGCTACACCACATTAACATGGCTTTGTCAGCCAATTTTACAAAACTGAAGAAAATAATTTTTTGTCTTCCTCTGAATTAATGATTCCTTCATGATTGTAGATCATTGTCTAAGAAGGTTATAGACTTCTTTTCTCTTTGCAAAGACCTCTAGCATTCATGTGCCTTGTGTGAATGTCAGAGTTCTGCAGAAGGGAAAAAAAAACCAACTTCTACTTGTTCCTGTCTTAAGAACAAATTACTTGTGATTTAATCGTACCTTGATATTGATGAGCAGCTCCAGGAAATTTTTTGGTGGCATAACAACTGAAGTGTTCAGAGGAATCACATAGCACTTATCCAGGCTAAGGTCAAGATAGGCAGTGAGTCTCTGTTGAGAAAACATTTATTTTAATCAAAATCAGAAAACTGACAAACAGATGTTGTTGAACTGCTATTGCCTTGTGCTGTTCTTCAATTTATTCCTTTGTTCACTGTAAAGTCTGTCCAATAAACTCCAATATTCAGGCAAGTAAATGCACAAAGGGCAGCCTTGATGAGAATTTATATTTTCGACAGGGACTTGGGCAAGGCTGCAGGTGATGAAGAGCTCAAATGCACTAGGCAAGGAAACTACAAAGGTGTACCTGAGCTGTTATGGAAACAAGTACAGTGTTCATTTATGACTAGTGCCTTCATTGTGAAACAACAGGGCAAAAACCTGGCTCTAATCTTCATGGTTTTATATTTTGTTACAGTCTAGAGGAAATGCTGCTGTAAGAACAAAATACAGAAAGAAAAAAAATATTGCTACAGACAATGCAACAAAAGTAGTTTTAGGTTCAAAAATACTACTGACTTGCAAGGTTAATGATTATTCATAGTTGAACTATTATCTTTATACAGTACCTTAACTGCAGTATTTGTCAGCATTTGATAAAAAGCTTAGGGAATTACCCTGATGAATCCTGTAGCTCTGTTCACTGAGCTGTGTTTTACTGCACCTGTTCTTGCTAAAAAAGATGTTATCTCTAGCTACTGAAGGCTCTGAGGTTGTGCATGTATATAAAATACTGAGCACAGGAGCCCAGCAGTCAAAATAATGCCAGGACAGCAATCATCAGTGCAGCTAATCTCATTACATGGAGCAAGTGCTGTACCTATGGCAAATGACCCTTGCACTAACCTTTACAGCAAAGCCTTTAACTTATTAAATCAAAAAGTAAATTTCTAATAATATATTGTTCTTACTTGCTTCTTAGATGCTGCTTTCTTTTTTCGTTTTCTAGTTTTCCTTCTTTAGAGTCTTTATTCTAACTCTTAACAGAAGCTCCCTAAATATATTCTGAAATATTATTTAAATTACATAGCTTGAGCAAGCAATGTTTTCCTCCAAATCTGGCTATGAATATTTGATAGATAGCACTTTAAACTCTGAAGTTTGCATAAAAAAATAGGACACTTCCTTATTCTTTTTCAGCTTAGCTTAAAAAAGGCTGTTCAGCGAAGTCTTCAAATGTTCACAGAGATTTAGCTTCCTGAAAACCAGCTGTATAACATTTCATCACCATCAGACAGCTCCAACCATGCTGGAACAGGAAAGGAAGGCTTCTAATTGTTTTACAGCTGCTCTTAACACTGAGAGCTGTAGGCCTGTCAACTGCCTCAACAGAAATTTATTACCATGATTCCTATCAATCAAGGTTATTTCTCCAAAAATGGAAGACAGCCTTGAAACCCTAGTTCAGTACCTCTAGGAATCGTAGTAGCCTGTGGTGCACGAAAAAATTAATCTTTGGCTTCCTGTGGCATCTGGAAAATGAGCTGTCTTCCATGGTCCATCCCCTTCTGCTGCTGGCTTGGGGGTTTGAACCATGCTAGGAGAGCACCTCTGGAAGTGCCTGAGCACACCCAGTGACATTAGATACAATCAGCCCCTCCAAGCTGGTGTCAAAGCTACCTCAGCCCTTTCCAAATTTCCCTTGACACCACATCAGTTGGTCAAATTCTGGCCCAGTGGACTCAGCAGAGCAAGAATAATATTCTCTTTAGTTTCTCATACTAAGGAGAGCAAATAGATCCAAGATTTTTCCCTTCCTAAAAACAGAACTGTATTTGCAAATGGTGGTTTACACACTACCTGATGATGACTGTATCGTGCTGTACTTTATGCCTGGTTAATAACTGCATGCAGCCTACTGCTGATCAAAACATTTCTGCTACGTCCTCCACCCCTCCGCTTTCCCCCACCATAATAAATAAGGAGTATATTTATCAGGATGATTGAGAGGGAACATTTTTTATGTTTTAAATGCTTTCAACTTCTTCAGACATATTTCTTACCCGGTGGAAATCGTGGACGATATCAGCAGGATCGCTATCAGCAAATTCAGGGACTGGCACGCTGATAAACTCAACATCTTCCTCCTCCAGGATCTGAATATTTTGCTCAATTGTGTGGTAGCGAGCACTCTGAGCCTCTGCCCCAGGCTCAGGTAAACTTAAGCCATCTTCAATGTACTTTATTCCACAGAAATACACACCACCTTGCTAAAAATAGTAAACAACCCAGCAACAAAAAGATCAGTAACACAGAGGTTTCAAGTAATGTTCTCAGAGCACTGAAGAGGAGAAAAATTTGTCAGACTAAATGAAATTTTTTGCCTTTAACTTAATTCATACACCAAAGCATGAGCCAGTTGCTATCTACAACAGGACCATGGCTATAAACGTCAATTCCACTCATCCCAGAGGAAGTTCTTCCCTTGAATTCATGGAGAACAGGATCCCATAAGAAGGTTCTTAAAATCCAGTCTTCCATGTACTTTCAGAAAGACAATAAAGTTCCTACACCTATGTGTATTCATATTATTATTATTATATTATGATCTAACTGTAGTCAAAATTATTATTAAAAATATTCAAACTGGTCATCCAAATCACCTTTAAAAAGCAAGTCTAATTCTAAATTTGGCCCTGCTTGCAACAGAGGGTTGGACTACATGACATCAAGACTTTCCTTCCAAACTCAATTATTCTGTGGAATTGCTTAGTTTTACAAGAGTCTGGAAAGCCACTTTCTAAAATAATTTTTGAACAGCTTTAAGAGATAAAAAGAGAAATTGAAATAACTAATTTGTCCTTTTGCAACAGTACACATGGAAGGCTACCTAAGTGAAGCATAAAATACAGTTAAGTCACAGGAAGTCATGTATCAAATCTGCATGCCAGATAGTTTTAGAAATATAAAACTCTGCATATACACATGCCATCAATTTAAAGTTTTACACTGAAAACGTGTCTTCAGTGCAATGTCAGCTCAATTCCTGAATGCTTCCTTTAAGGCAGATCTGACTCATAAACAAGTAGCACAGGTTAGAATTAAATGGCACTTTCAGTTTCATCCCACTGGCAGGTGAAAGGTGGAGCACCCCGTGCTCAGCAGGGGTGAAATGTGCCTTGGAAATGGGCCTTCAGCTCCTCAGCTCGTTAATCCACCCACCGGGATAAACTGTGCTGTTTAAGCATCATCGTTTGCAACACTACCGATCCCCTGTAAATTTGGTTAATGTGATAGACAAACAGACTACAAACTGCAAGTTCAGCTAGAATTTCTCAAGCTTCATCACTTGGCTTTCCATTAGCAGCTCCTAAATGGGGGAAAAGCAACAGTCCGGCTATCAAGGACAGGAACATGATTTTTTACCTTACAATTAGGTGCACTAACTAGTGGGCTAGAGAGATTCATATTTTACCTCTTCCTCTCTGGCTCTGTGATCTTGCAACCCCAGCAGTTTCTGAAGCAGGCAGGGTGTGCTCGCACGACATGGGCAACAGCCCAGCACATCCTGCACTGCCTGGTAACAACTCCCCCCAAGGGAACCAATATTTAACTCAGATCTCCCATGTTTCAGGTAAATGCTCCGTTTTCCTGGCACTGCTGCCTTCAGAGAGCTCCTCTTGCAGCAGTACCATTTGTTAAAAGACTCAAAATACATTTTGTTAGAGGTCTAATCTTGTCAGTGTGGATTAGACTTGACAGAGCATGTTTAAACCACACTGACTGTGCTTTTCTCAAGTCCCCTGCAGGGCCCATATTTCTTATCCATGTGGAGGCTAGGGAAGGAGAGAGTCACCATGTTGCTTTCACAGGCAGTCCCTTTCCTGTACATTAGCAGTGCCTTGTGTTAGGAAACCTGGGATCAAACAAGGAGGCTTTCAAGGGGTTAATCCACCTCCAGTATTTGGCACTACAAAAGAGAAAAGAGAGCAGATAAAAATCTGGGACACCACTGGGGATCCTAAACCCAAGTCCTATTTAGATAAAATCTTTTCTCTGCAAAGCAAGGTTTTCAGAAGTGTTGGTGTCTTTTGTTTGCCAGCTTCACTTCTGCCCTCCTCTGCTGAAAGGTAACTTCAGAGAAGGCAAAACTTAGGCCTTTAGAACACATGAAGTTTTGGAAAGAAAAACCAGTTTATTTTCTTTGGTTTAGTTTGTTCCTCTTCTAAATGTAACACAAAAAGAACACTCTGTTGCTCCTCTTCCCACAGAGAAAAACAGCCCTCTCATAACGAGTATGTGACTTACCTGGAATGCAAAATATTTGTACAGATAGGCACCGCCCAGGAACACACCAGCCAGCATAAAGGCCAATCCAAAGCACATGCACCAGCACCAGGCCCTTCTCTGTCCAACAGGCACAGCATCCTCAGGGTCCTGCAAGGCACCAGAGAGGGACCTTCAACACACTGTTCCCAGGGCAGGGAAGAGAGCAGATACTTCAGGCCCAGCAAAGACAAACACTGCATCCACCAGAAAAGGCTGTACGTGGTTTGGCACAAGTGTTTAGAAACTTGCCTTATTTAGTAAAATTTAAAACAAGCCTGTTTAAGTCGAGGTTTTGTAAAACTTGTGCTTTTAAGGCCATCATCACTGACTAAATCAGCAGACTTAAGAGAAAAATATAACAAAATCTCCTGAGATACCTAATAATACACAGTGAGCCACTTCCCAGGTTACAGACAGAAAAATATGCACTCTCAGGCAACCTCCATGCAACAACAGCAGAGTGAGGAAGTCAGCTCAGAAAGGTCAGCTCAGAAAGGTCAGATTCTTTTTTACCTTAGTGTATGCAATATAAGTGAACCTGAAGAACCAACAAAAGATCAAAGGTAGTAAGAGCAGTAAAATATATCCCTTCCCATGTTGTTCCATCAGAACAAAACAGCATTTACCACAAATTTACTGGCAGAATAGCAAAGGCGGGAATGAAAAAAATATAAAGATGCTTTGTAAGTTGTTGTTAAGGAATCTTTCTGCTCTGAGACAGCATTTGCCATGCCTACATCTGCTGTCCGTGTAGTACTGAAGGAATGACAGGATGTTTCCCCTTTAGGGCACTAGTTTGCATAACCATGCAGTCCCCACAGGCATCCTAAGCAATAAACTGCTGCTTGCAGAATCTTTCCTCTATCAGCCACATTACAATGCTCTTTCCTCCCTCAAGTGTTTGTGTAACTCATGTACAAAGTAAAAAAGAAAAAAAATAATAAATAAATATATAAATAAATACAAATCCAACTTTGAGCTACCCTGTTCCAAGCCAGGACATTCCTGGGAAAACATCTGAATTCAAGTAAATACAAAGAAATTCATTACCCCTTTGCAACCATGAAACAATAACATAGATTGATGACCAGGGCAAAATCATTATGACAGAATGAACAAAAAAACCACCAAATCAGAAAAGTGAGGAAGAGCAGGACGGGAAGTGCTTGAGAAGGTTTTTTGACAGCTATAGTTGTTAGTCAATGTTCTGCCTGATGTATCCGGTCTTTTTGCTGCATTTGCTAATTAAGATGATACCTTATCTGAAGGGGAATTCCTTCCCAAATCTAATCCCCTAGCTGAAGCAAGTCTGACACCAAATGGAAAGGGGACCCTCCCTGTAAATGGTGGGAGAAAGTGGCACTTCCTGGGAATGACTCAGCCATCCCAGAGAAGGATAAGTAGCATTTTGGAGGGACTTACTTCTTTTCACTGATTATAGAGGGAAATTCCTTGGTTAACAAAGTAGGTCCCTAATTCATATGCAGCTAAAATTAAGTGATGTGAAACCCACCTTTACAGTACACTGCAATTACCTTTCATACACAAATGGCAATGCAGCTTCTTTGCCAGGCAACAGCTGCCAAAACCTGATTCAGAAATATTTAGAGTTAAACTGCACAGATTTCACACATTTTATTTTACTTTACCTTGCTAAATACCACAGAAAATCTGATTGTGAAATCTCCATCTTTGGAGGCTTTCAAGACTCAACTAGAGAAAGCCTTTGCTAATCTCGCTTTGGCAACCATCCTGTTTCTAAAGGGAGGCTGCAGCAGATGACTTCCAGAGGCCCCTTCAAACCAACATTTCTGGGATACATTACAAGGCAAAGTGAAATCAGCAACATTTGCTGTGGACTGAAAAGACACAATGTAAAGACAAGAAACAACTTTTTAACTCTTTTAGAAAACAAATTACTGAAAGAATTCATTGTAAAAAGTTACAGGATCACTAGCTGCCTGATTTTTAGCCTGGCTCTTTGCAAAGATTGAGGATAGGATATAATACCCATGCTAATCTAATTAACTCTCAGGTCAGGCTGAGAGTCACTGTGGATTCTTCTATAAATCATCTCAATTATAAATCTAAACCAGGTAAACCACGGATTTTTATTTTTATGTTGCCCTGTATCATTAGGTAACTATTTCCCTAGATATTTCAAAGCATACAGGACACCTGATTGAAACTTCTTTACAGTAGTTGTCACTTAAACCGTCTCAAGTTAATGCCAGAAAATGGGATAGCAAATTCCCTTTGGGATACAATATCAAAATATTCCCCAGTGAAGAATATAAAGAGTATCTTTATTCTTTCCTAGTGCTGCTTTCCTCCCCTACACCTTTTTAACTTCAACCGGAATTATCCATTGGTGGAATAACTGCCTCTTCCAATTTTTTTCATTATTTTGTAGGTCCAGAAAGACTAAGAAAACATGCATCTGGGAAATGGTAAGGCATACAGTGTATGAACACCTACCTTGAAATGAGGGTTAATGTCAGATCAATTTTCCACAAGCCACAAAAATAATCAGGAAAAAAAGAAAGTAACTTTTACACTTTCACCATGCTAGGAGAAATCTGAAGGACAAGTTTATCAGTATTCCACCTTAAATAATTTTGCTTTGATATATGAGATGACAGATGTAAACAACAGGTCTAATACAACTCTTTTATCCTTTACCACCAACTAAAGTCTACCATTATTATTTCTGAAGGTATCCCTTGTTATAGCATGTTAAGCTATTTTGTATTTATAGTTGCCTATCATTGATTTGTCCCCAGCCCACCAAACTGAGAGCAAGAGTTCAAGCCCAATTTAGCCTCCTGCTTAGGATAATAAATGAAAACATGGCACTTTAGCATAGGCAGAACCTGAAACTGACAACACTGAAAAGATTTTATGCCACTAAAAGAGAACAAAAAATTTACTTCCTAGCCTGAAAAATAAGTATATTATCAAGCAGTTTAAAATCAGCTTAAATTAAAATATTATAAATAACTTACTGAATCTAAATTATACTCATGTATGTAGCTGACACATGGCTAAGCTCTCTAAACTTTTGTATTGTTGCCACGACAGCTTAGTTTGGGCTGTATTGACCCAAAAGAATAATTTATCCCTTGCTATATAAATCTGACCCTCTGCACTGCAAGAGGAGAAAGTGCAATGGATGCTCACCCTGCTTCCAGGTGACTCATGTTCTGACTAAAAAGCCATTAAGTGAAAGCAGATCCCCACTAAGAGGGACAGTGCTGAACTAGCACTTCTCCCCACATGGTTACAACTGCACTTTGTTCCCCGGCAGCAGCGCTGACTTCTGAAGCCAGAGCACAACACGAGACTGCAGCCTCAATGACTAATTTTTCTCTAGGCCAGCTTTCCACCGCCAAAGGTATCTCACAAAAGAAAGCATCATGTACCTGAGGTGAAGACTGACCTCTAAAAATACACCTCTCTACTTCTGTGAGCAGTAATAAATAATCATTAGTGTCCCGGTCCCTTTCTGTCCTCTCTTCTGCTTGATCCCTGCCCCAAGTATTTTCAACTCCTTTGTGAATCCTCAGCCTTAAGATGATGCCACAAAATTCATCTCTGATGCAAAATGCTCTAGGAGGAACTGGATGCAGGCCCAAAACTGGCTTGTTTCCCTTGATGAGCTGATTGTCCTAATTGGAAAACATTTGATTAGCCAATTTCCCATGGATAAGACATGAAACAGAAGCATCTCTCTGCTACTTGTACACTAAATCCTACAGTGTTGAAATTAAATAGTTCAGAACTTCCCAACCTGAATAGCTTCAAGCTCTGCAGTAACAACTTTCCTTTCAAATAGAACACAAGTATTAATTCTCTATTATTTGAGACGAGCGAGATTTAAATCTGGAGTCTTCTCACAAAGAAATGACAAGATGACTTCAGTTTTCCGAACAGATCCCTTTACTGGTGACCAAAGCAGTGAATGTAAAACTGCCCTCTGCCTTCTTAATAAAACCATGAAACACTTCTGAGATGGGCACACGATACCACAAACTGTTTACCAGAACACTCCTCAACAAGAAAGAGATCTTCACAAGAACATCTTTATAACAATTAGCATTAAACCTGCAAACACTAGTAGTTATTAATGGCTGGTGGCCATATATTCTCTTTCTCTTTTCAGTTCCATTTTAATGGTTTTTGTTTTGTTTTGGTCTGGGGTTTTTTTTTGTTGTTGCTGTTTTTTGTTTTTTAATAAATGCTGAACTTTAGAATGGCCAAATTAATGTTTGGGATAATATCACAAATGTATTCCAAGAAGCTCCAACACTGAGCCACAAATGTGTATAATTAGACTTGATAATTACTTAGATTTTCCCCTTGTGGCTTTTTGTACATAGTGGAATATAATTGCTTTAACATTATAAAAGTAAAGCAGTCTATAAACTTACAAGGCATATGTCTAGTTTGTATTAAAATGAGTGAGATGATCAGATCTTGTTCCTTCGCAGAAATTAAGGACACAACTATCTAAATCAGATATGATGGACAACATACTGTGAGAAGTCCAGAATGACTGCTGGACAGCTATGCAAAAGATAATGTCCCAAATTTAAAAATAGATACGATAGCAATAAAAATAACTTTGGGAGGGGGAAATGTCTTCAAGAATGAACAAGTCTTTGATCTACAGAGAAACCAGATGCAGAGCATTACTGAGTATTACAAACATTACTAAAAATGTCTGCAGCATAATGCACAAAACGTCCATAATTACGCATGTGAGAATAACATCTAATACATATACACAAACACATATATAAAAGCTTACAGTTAATGTGGGTAGAACTGGCTGGAAGTTAATGTGGGTGGGACTGTTCAGAACAGTTTTCCTCCAAGGTCCTCTGTGTGCCACTTAGCTCACATGGACAGACAGAACACAGTGGGACAGACTGAGTTTCCTGAAGGCAAATATTGACCAACCGCAGCTTTAATTAGTGGAACAAGAAGGAGGGAAGTTAATGATGACTCCCTAGAAGTGTTTTTTAATGAGAGGCTAAAACATCTTTAAATAAAATACTGACCAACGGCTTTATAAACTGAATTCTGTTGGTCAGGCTCGCCTGCTCTGACTTGTAAATCTGACATCTGTA